ATATATATTACTTTAAATATACACCTCCCACCTGGTAACTGTAGGATGTGACACAAGACAAACTTCATCAGTTTCTGACCTTCTCCTGAATTTTTCAGTTTTAGGGCACTGGTGAAACAAACATGTTTGCTATCATACAACGATGCTGCTTCCACACACCTTTCAGAGTAAGTTACTGAAGCCTTTTCTGCTGTCTGTCTTTATTTAAAAGTAAAACAGTAAAAGATACAACTGGAGTATTGAAAAAAAAAGGTGGCTTCCAATTGGAGTAGCCATATATATCCCTCAGCTTTTCTGGGAGAGTTCCTAATTTCTACAGCAGCTTTAGGCAATTCTGTTTCTTTTTTATAAAATTGGAATTTTATTGTCTAGAGGTCTTTTTTCCTCCCTCCTTTTGGTAGAGTAGTGAGGGGAAAGTAGCTAATTTCTGGGGTAACCTCATCCTGCTTCTGTAGGAAATTATGTTTCACTCTGAAAAGGACTGATATATATCTTAACTTTAAAGTGCCTAATGAATGAATGTGTGGGGAGAAAGATAGGTGGGTATACAAACATTTTGCAGTCAGGTTTGCTTACTCACTCTGGAGAGTCCCATTGCTTTTCATCAGCTCCCTGGTGAAAGGTGCATCAGTTACCTTCATTAGTGTAGTTAAAAACATCTGAAATCCAAGAGGAGTGACAGCTGTGACGTGACCTGACCTGGAAAACCACTTGGTACAACATTCCATAGGCAGTTTAGGTAACTGCAGATCTGTCAGGCTGCACTGTGCAGTGTTTACGATGGGTTTTGTACTTGCAGCTCCAGAAGTTAGCTGGCCCCAGACTGCTGCTCTGTGGAAAGGATAAGACAACTTGGTCTCCTCTCGGCCTCCAGCAGCTGCAGAGGGATGTGTGTCTTCTCTCAAGAACTTCAAGACTCAAGCCAGCAGTAATTTATGCAACCAAGCTCCAGGCTTTTCACACCTCTCTGCCCTTCTTCAAGAAGAAAACACCTGCGGTATCTGAGGCAGAATCACAAAAAAAACCAGGATCACTGAAGGATTCTCCCAAGCCAGCCCTTTACTTAAGCCTGGCAGGGTTATTCCCGTTTGTCTACGTGCCAGTGGTTATGGCCATCAAGGGCACCTACTACCCAGAGCTGGCATTTGCTCAGGTCACATATGGTGCTGTAACAGCCTCTCTGCTAGGGGGAATGAGGTGGGGGTTTGCTCTCCCAGAAAACAGCCCGGCCAAGCCAGACTGGCTGAACCTGGCTAACAGTATAGTTCCTCCTCTGTTTGCCTGGCAAGCCTTGCTCTTGAAGGATATCACTCAGGGTGCAGTAATGATAGTGATGGCCTTGGGGATAGCACTGCACTATGATGTTTCCCTTCTTCCTACTTACCCGAGGTGGTTTAAAGTGCTGAGGGTAATAGGAACAGTGGTGATGGCAGCATCGCTATTGGCCACTGCATTTCTAAGGGCTGTTTTGGAGTAGCAGTGAAGGGACAGAAGAAATAAATAGCAAAACACAACTTAATAAATCATTAGGAAGAAAGGTATTATTGCCAAGAACATATTTATATGGAGTTCCAAGAGAAATAGAGATGGATTTGTTCTTAGGAGTCATATGATGGCAAGGAGCAAGATGCTTATTCTTGAAGCAAACTGATTTTCCTACTGATTTTCCAGCAAGTTAAGGAGGGGAGGATTGTAAATAGCAATGACTTCGAAGGCAAATGTGAGTCTGTCCTTATCCATTGAACAAAGCATCACTCTTGAATAAGATGTTGCTGTGAATTTAAAATGGAGATTCAAAATGACACGGGTATGAATGGCTCTATGCTGAATTATTAAACTATCTGGTTTGACTATAATGTGTGATCCTGTTCTGTGGTGGGGAGAACAACTCTAGTCATAAACAGTAACAAGGTGGAAGCAGTTCTCCCACTTGAGTGTTCAAAGAAGCAGCAGAGAATTGTGCAAAAGCACATCCATGTTCAGTTGCTGTTGTGTGGAACAAGATTCCTTTTTCACCTGAGCAGGTGCTGAAAATCACAGAATGGTTTGGGTTGGAAGGGACCTTAAAGATCATCTTGTTCCACCCTTCTAGGACACCACCTGCTAGACCAGGCTGCTCAGAGCTCCCTCCAGCCTGGCCTTGAACATTTCCAGGGATGCTGTGTGGCACAGTGCTGGTTGGGTAAGAAAGGATAGGTAAGGTTTGCAGTGGCAAACCAAGGTCAGCACTCACCTAAAATGTGTCATGCACTGCTGTGCCAGAGTGGGGAAGGCTGAGGAGCTTTATACCTTTGACAAGCTGCCATAGGATACAGGTCAGCTTCCTGCTCAGGCCTCCTGAAATAGAAGAGGATACCTGGGTGCTCTGTTCCTAGGTTTTGTTTGGTTTTAGGGCTGTCCAGTAAAGGAAGCTGCATGTAACATAGCCATGAAGATCTGTCATACTCCTAAATTAAAGGAGTATTGACTCATGCTGTGATGTGGACAAATTTATGATGACAAGGACTCACATGCTGGCACTAAAGGATTAGATAATGGGATTTAAAGTAGTTTGTCTTCCCCCTCCTCAGAAGCCATTTTATTTGAGCACCCAGAGCAGGTACAAAGGGACTTGTAGCCTGCAAACACTCCCTGATGGGCCTGTTACTGAAACCACTGCAGAAGCATATGGTCTTTGTACTTAAGTCTTCCTAACAAACACATCATTTAGTAGAAGACAAAACCTAAGTCACATGGACTTTATTTTCTAGTCTCAGATACCTCAATAAACCTGTGAAATTGTATGTGGCATATTTATTGTAAGCTTTTTAGCAGAAGTATATAGGTACAGTATAAGATGCAAGAAGAAAGCTGAAAAGTGACATCCACAAATGGTCTTAGGACCAGATAAACCTTAGGACCTAGATAATCCTCTTAGTTCTTTTGCAGCGCTATTTTTCATTGTTGTTCTACACAGAATAAAGCACATATTGTCCACTTAAAAGCCATTACCTGTTCATTCTGCAAAGAACAGAGCTTTAAGAAACTTGCCTATCCTGGAGACAGTGCTGAAACCACAGCTCTCTAGACCAGCCTCTCACTTTTGCAACCTGTCAACCTTTACATGCTAACAGCATCATCCCAGTGAAGCAAAACTGTGTTTCTTAGCTGACTATAAAAGAAATAAAATTGAGTTTGTGAATGAAAATGTTTCATCTAGTCTTTCTTACTCATGGCATTTATTAAGGTGAGTCCAGAGCAGAGTCCTGCCTTTGGCTTGATTCAGTGAAAGAGGTGCTGACCATAGTCAACCAGCTTCAAAGTTCCAATCAAATGTGACAGAATCAGCTACAAAGCCTGGAGAATGCAACTTCAGACAACTGCAGACTCCCTCAAGCTCCACTGAACCAGAAAGTTGGGGTGGGGGATCAGAAGTGAACTCCTAGTTCCCAAATAAAATACAGCTAAGGTAACGTTCCTCAAATGGCTCCACAATGGACCCTGAAATATGAAGGAGAAAGCCCAAGAAATACTACCTGTGATTTCATCCCAGAGAGGGCTGAAGAGAGCTGGCAAGGCACAGCCAGACTTTCAAGAAGTCTGAGTGATTTTACACTGAGAAAATAATGAGTATTTTACTGCAGATGTGTGTTATTTGAACAATTTAAACAGTCACAGTTTATAACCAACCTTCTCCAAAGGTCCTACTGGGAAACAGGATTTCCAATAAAAAGAAAACCTATTATATCAGGGGGGCAGTGGTACAACTCATTGCAATATGAAAGCACCCTATAACAGAGCATTCCACAGTCAGTTCTGAAAATGCATTTTATTATGAAAATCTGCTTAAACAAGCTTATATTTGAAAAAATACATTAATTCAGACACATAAGAAATCCTCTGAAGTAAAAGCACACACAAGATTATAGGACAATCAGAGAAACAAACTCTCCATCATCTAGCATGTTTTAGCCCAACCCCCTGTTAGAATTTAAGACCTAGATTCTCCAGGTACCTGCAGCACTCAACCTTGGAGGATTTGATTCATGTATGGATCTGGTTTTTTTACACAGAGGATACTGACCTAGACATGAATGCTCCTTTGTCTACACAGTGCAGGCTTCCTGTTTTGTGACATTCCAGTTGTGGTTTTGTGTTCCAGAATAACACTGTCTATCAAAGTTCAAGCAGCCTCACTTCAGATTCCATCCAAATCATCCACAGCTGTGCAGAAAATGCAATCGTAGTGTGCAAAAAGCAACTTCAAGTATGTTAATTAAATGATTCTAGAAATAACTCCGAACTCCTAGTAGTAGTGTTCTACTAAGTGTATCCACGCTAAATACAAACTCCTTAAGAGCACACTGATAGCATCACTTGAATGCTGAATGCAGATAATTCTATCACAAAAAGCTCCATATGCCCAAATCTGGAAGGGGCAGCATAGAAGACATAGCAAAGGTGAATGTATGTGCCATGTAGAACAGCAAGTATTGCAACGCCAAGTCTCAGCGTGTGTCACACAGGGTAAAAACACATTTCACTACGGGGAGAAAAAAAAAGGGGGACAAAAGGCTTTCCCTGTTTTCATACTAAGAGCAGCCCTAAACAGAACAGCAAATCTAACGAGTTGGACTTCCGTTTAAAATTCATCAGAGCTTACATAAAAAGGAGCTCTACTGCCATCACTGACACCACTGAGAAGGAAAGCCAATGCTGAGGTGGAATGACATTATTAGAACTGTGAGGATAACCCTCCGGAACAGGGAATTCTCAGCCACTCACCATCCAAGTTAGTGGAGTGGCCAGAAAGTATCCAGTTCATATTTAATGCCTGTCATGTCTGGCAGCAGAAAAGAGACTCAAATGCAACAAGGTCCTAAGTGGAGCTACCAAGTCCTTCCCATCTGTTACTTTCTCTTCCTTGTTTTCAGCCAGAAAAAGACAAGTAATGCTATCCAAATCACCCATCTGATCTTATCTACAGGTAATTCCTTGCTGTCAACAGTAACCTCCTTCCAGATGTAAGGCTGGCTAAAATGCCAGCTTGGTGCACCTGAGTGAGGTCCACCTGATTCATGTCTCCAATGTGCTGGAATTATCTATGCAGATTTTTACAGGGCAAATTCCACATTTATTTCAGTGAG